ATGTCCGACTGGGGACGAATTTTGGGAGTTGTAACAGAGGATCCCTTGATTGAAAAAGTTTTTTTCTTGTCTTCATTTGGTTTCTTGTTCGTTATGGCTGGAAACAGTTTTCTAAAGCCCTTAATGCCATTGACTGTTTCCCCTGGACTCGGTGACCTGGATCGTCCAGTGGTTCTCTGCTGTGAAGATCGACGATCCACTACCTTTGGACTGGGTGATCGTAATCGATAAAATGTTTTCTGACGCTGTATGCTCCGTTCACTTTTTGGCGATTCGCTGCGGGATCTACAACGAGTATGTGCTTTGTAGCTTTCTTCAAACATTTCAAGATTTTTCTGAGTCAGTTTTTCCCTTTTCTCACGCAAGGGGTCAAATTTAGCAAATTCAAATTTCTTATAAACACAAGATAATGCCATCATTCTTGCATATTCTTCTTTAAGTTTGTCAAGTTCTTTCTTCGTTTTGCATTTCATGATCTTCCGTTGTGACTGCATTTCTGTGATTTCCGTGTAAAATCTTCTCTTTTCTCTGTTGTTTTGAAAATTTGTTTCCCAGATGGATTTATTGCTCATGACCAACTCACTGTTGAAATTCTTTTCCCAGTCCCTCCAATTAATTTGAGAGGCATGTTCACGTTTTTCAATTGGACACCTTGGTATAGAATAAACCGAATCGTTTGATTGGCATAATCCTTCACTTTTGTTTTGAAAATATTTTTCATCTGATCTTCCTATGATAGGTATTGAATCTTTTTCTGACTGTAACAAATTGTACATGCCGCAAAAATGGAACATTGAAAAGAGAAATCTGAAGTTAAATCTGAAAATGTTTTGTAGCAGTACAATTGTCTTCAGAAGAAAATTATCTGACTTATTGCAGGTAATTATTGGAACAAACAATAAGAAAAAGTGCGTGAGGAATGGTTTATTTTTATAATTGTCGACCAATTGTCCAGCTGACTTTAAGATAATTATAATAAACAATTGTATAGCGCAACGTTTTTCTTCTCTCCAACCATTAACAAACAATGCAGCATTTTTTAAAACTCCAACTCGTTTTAAACGAGATCATTTGTTTTTAAATATGAGGAGCATATCACAAAAATTTTATTAAATGAAACAAAATAAATGTTGGGATAAATCTTTTAGGACGAAATAAAACAATAGTAAAATTACTTAAAACATTTCTTGCAAATTACGGAAGATAAAAAAAATGAGAAAAATACATTGTATAATAAAAATGAAATTTTCATATATATATATTTTATTTGATATATTTAAATGTAATTCCTTGCCAATATATACTCAAATGACTGTTTTACTGTAATAACTGAAAATTTAATTCACGAAAACAAAATAAAGACTAGAGGAACTGTCAGCACTAAGCTTTTGCTTTGTGAGACACGAAATATGTGTGTGATTAAAACGTAAAATAGGAGATGCACAATGGCAATATGAAAAAAGATTCTTTCATTCAGTAGTACAAGAGAAGTTGCGGAAAAGAGATGGCTGCCCCAAAGCGTAACGGACGGACTTACAGACAGCTAGACGGACGGACGTACAGCTAGACAGAAGGACGGACGGACATAACAATCACTATATACCCTCCCACTTTTCAAGCGGGGTATAATAAAGGTGCTACATGTATCGTTGTGAGTCATTCTTGTAATATTAAAATCTATGGTTACTATTTATTTAACTGAGCTGACTAGGTTTAATTGTGTGAAAATTACAAAAGAATACGAGGGACGTTCAATAAATAATGTCATCAGGGCTCGGAAAGAAACAAAAAACGCTCTTCTATGATTTAGTCTTAATGATTTAACTGATATATTCTCTTTCAATTCAAATACATGTCCGTAACATCTTTATTCAATTTCCAATTGTTTTTAGAACTCAGTTTTGAGTATGACCCTTCGTATACTGGAATATGGCAAATCCTATGATTTGGTGTACTTCATTTTTTCTTTCTGATAGATGTTTATCTAAGTTTGGGAAATGAAACAAGTCAGAGGTTGAAAGATCTGGCAAATTTTGTTGGTATGACAAAACATTAACTTTCTGTTTATCTCCAAAACTCCTTTACTCTTCATGGCCTGTGGGTTTGGACGCTGTCATGAAGAAATTCAATGTAGTGAATTCCTCTTTCTGTTTCCTTCCTCTCATAAACCTTTCAATTTTTTGCAAAAAAATTTGTTTTCTAGACTCCTCCAGAAATTCAACTTTCTCCCCGAATATGAATTTGAACAACAAGAAAATAGAATATAAAACTGTTTTTGAGCTCTTTCAATTCTTTGCTCTTCTTATGCCTTTGCAGTTTTATCAAGTGCATCTTTTTGTAAATTTGTTTTTAGGGTTTAAAGCAAAATGGATTGAAGTTTCATTATCTGTTTGAATTTCAGACAAACGTGGATAAGAACAATTTTAGATTTTTTAAAAAATTATTGTTTAGATTTTTCTACACGCTGTCGTTTTCACTCATTTTGCAAAATATAGGAGGACCTTTGAGTATCTAACTTTTTTACTTTTAAATGCTTCTTTAAAACAATGTGAACTACCCCCAAAATTAATTCTATCAATTTTGCTATCTGTATGAAAATCAATAAAACATAATTAGTGATAATTTGTTGAATTTTCAGAAATAAACATTGGTTGTTGTAAGTCCTTGTTGCCTAGGACGGTACCCATTTTTGATGCCCCATTATATAATTTTGTTTATTTAAATCCACCTGTTCGTGTGTATATAAAACAGACATTGGTTGCTGTAAATTTCCCGTATTTTGATTAATATATTTTTGGGATATTAACAAATTTTCAGCTACTTTAATGAAGCCTTTAATTTTACTCTAGTTTACTGATTCTTGACCATTCATTTTAATGCAGTGTCTCGAATAGTCCTTGTTTCCCAGCTTCCCACCATGAAACTATGTGGTGAAAAGTGGTCACATAAACTGTTATTAATTCATTAAAGATTCAATAATGAGAGAAAGTTAAGCTTAGTGTGATATGATTTCTATGTTGTGTGTCATCGAGCTAATGACATTATTTATTGAACGTCCCTCGTACATTGTATACTTTGATACATTGTATATAATACCATATGTAACTTACATTGACTTACGCGTACATTTGTATGTGCCAAGTTTATGGGGGAAAATCTTCTTTCTAGGTATTTAAGGACCTCTCAAAATGCAGATACATTATTCATAATTACTATAGGGTTTTATGGGAAAATGCCATTTTTCGCAAATTATACGTAAACTATAATACCTGTAGATGTTTTGCTCAAAGAATGAAATGTAAATATTAACATTGTACATTAATAAGAAACACAAATTTCCACCGTCTGGTGGACCACACTTTCCTTTATGATGTTTGCCTTGTATTGGATTTCTTTGAATTTTATTTAATAATTATATTATCAATAAGATATCTTCCATACTGTTTTTACTGTTAAATAATACATGTAGCATTATTTCAATGTCTTTGCCGTTGTTGTTGCCCACTTTGGATTTCCTGATTGAAATTCTCTTTGATCTTTTGTCGTTAAATGTCCAATGGTCAGTACTTTCCCTTCATCTCATTTCTTCTCAAAATGTTTTAATTAAATTGCTTACATTTGATGTTTGAGAGGATGGGAGTATGTAAAGCATCATAAAGCAAATATATAACACACTTGTCACATACCAGCTTAACAATTCTATCAAAGATTTGTTTTTTATAACAGAAGGTTAGCAATATGCTCTTCAGTCTTACAGTTTATGTCAACCACATTTAATGAATTTGCCTTAATTTTCATAAAGAAAAAATGTCATTACTTGATATCATGAAGCTTTTATTTTGTCTCTTGATGAATGATGTTACACCTTCCGTATCTAAACATGCTAAAGGTTTTCAAATTAACAAAATGCCTTTCTAAACACTTTCCCACCAATTAATCTAAGTAATCACCTCAACTTTCGTACATTTAATTTCTCCTTTGAGACAGATACTGACTTCGGTAACGATTTTCTGTTTATATTTCTTGATTTGAAATCACGATTAATTACATCGTTTTAATTATTAATCGTTGTCAACTTAGTATTGGTAAATTTAGGAAGATTTTATTTTGAGAGATACTTGAGTCAAGACGAAAATCCACTCTAGAACACCCTAACGGTAAGTTTAACATTACGTTACCTTATTAACCTATATTAAGAGTTAATCATGAAGCTGCGCTAAAATTATTTTGTGTTATCTTATTATATTATAATATCCTGTGTACAGTTATCAAATGTTACATTTTTTCAATTTAAAAAAAATAAACTATTCCATTTTTTGACTGACCTTTTACAATTACATATCACCGCTATACTTTCGGGATAACAATGTACGCATCATTTCACAGTTCGGAAATTATTGTATTAAGAATCATGGGGACTACTTGAACATTTCATGTGATCAATTAAGGATATATTCAGGTACATTTACTCTTAAAATATTTTCTTTCAAAGCAGAAAAAGGATAAGAATAATAGAAAAGTTGATTAAATCTTTCATTATACTTAATGTGCGATGTTTATACAATCGATAATATACATAAGAAAGGTACCCTTTTCTTAGAGACACGTATAACGGGTTAAAATGTTCAGAGAGGACTTTTGATTAACGGTTCTCCTTTATAAAATTGTGTAATTCACACCAACAAATTTTAGCAATGGTATTGTAATCGTCAATGTATGCAATAAAATTTGTGGTATTGGGTGTTGACGAAATAAGCTACAGTTAAACTGTGGTATCCCGAACTCAACGGGACAGGGACAAAACTCCGAGATATATCCAAGGATTTGAGGAAACAGGGTTAAAAAATAAAGGGAAATGGATGTGAATGTCAACTCTAGGTATCCGAGACACCGGTGTTTGAGATAAATTAAAGTTCAACTGTAGTTGCTTCATTTATATGCTTAGCAAAATGGAGTATCTTGTTTAAAATTGATACAAAAAATGATTTTTTGCAGGAACAGCAAACAACTGGATATTAACACAAATGTGTAGAATGATCTTTATATGCCGTGTTTGTGCGGTATGTTTAACTGGACTGATTCTGGCTGCGTCACAGGTGTCGTCTGCTGAACCAGGTAATCCTTTTCTAAATTTCTTTTTTGACATAAAAATATTTCATTTTTTAGGTTTTAGACCATCAGCAGGCTAACTTGTTTATACACGCATATGTGTCAGATTAGTACAAAATTTGTCTTCAAGTTTCTATAGATACCTGGTTTTTATATTTTCTACCTCTATAGTTGATTGTGACTTCAGTAAGGATACGTGCAGTTGGAAAAGTGTCAAGGTGTATAAGAAAGGAAACGAAAAAATCCCCATCTGTGGCTTAAACGGGAACATAAGTCATTGTTTGTCCCCAGAGAAATATGTCGGTCAGATTACTTGGACAAGAATGAAGATTGGTGATCTAGCTGTCGACGAAATAAAATCAGGTATCACACTGGGGTATTTCATTTAATCAAGTTATATTAATTTGATCAGACTGAGTAAATTTTAGACTGTAAAAGTGCGGTTCATTGTTTGTCACGGGGTGATCTTTCAGTTAATTGATGGATGGTTGGATAAACCATCATCATCATGTCAAGTAAAAATAACAAGATATTTCTGATCATTAATTATTAAATTAATTATTAAGTTATTAAGTGATCCTTGTATTCATTATTTCTTGCTTCAGTACCGCTACGGAAAAAATGCTGAGTGTAAAATTAATAATGACGGATTGCCTGACAGAATGTAATGTTAAATCATCTGTCAATGCATGATCCCAATAAATATGTTGTGTTTGGGTCATGAAGTCATACTAAAATGTTTTTAAATTAATACACATGATTTATTTGTTTAAAAAAACAATAATTGTGACCATATCTGCATATTGTTTTCAACACATGTTATAAATACAATTGTACATTATATTTAAAAGTATCCAAATCTCTTACAGGATTTCGAAACTTGGAAAGTTTCGTATTTGGTTTTGTTGACACAAATGTTATCATTCCTGGATTGGATAAGATTCGTACGTCATTTATATTGAGTGAAAATCTCCAGTTTAGCAATCTACCCAGAAGTCTTCACTACCAGTACTTCCTGTATGGAAGCACAACCTTGACAGTTTCGTATCTAACAGATATCTCATTATACGAAAGCAAACTTATTGCTGCTCATGGAGTGTCCTCTTCAGGACAAACGAATATTACAAAAGGATGTGTAGATTTGCCTTTTGAAGCCGACGTCAAGGTAATTAACTGAGCGTCCATGTATATTTATCACTGCTAGGTTTTTAAGTTAGAAGCAAAAGCAAAGAACCCCATTGCTTTGATATTTTAAAGTGCAAGATAGACATCATATTATATGTGTGCAATAAATGTAGAATACAAAGGGTTCTAAGATTAATAGCATTGCTTAATTCTTTGCGTCTTCATTGCATATTTTTTTTTTATTTCATATGAGTTGTGTAATACAGGAGGAAATAAATAGAATCAGAGTAAGACAAGTCATTCGCTAGAGACATTCTGTCTCAAGCTTTCGTAAACAAGGTTGAACCTTCTTTATATTTAACGGAGAAAATTAGCATGAAATTGCCATTTATTTACTTAAAGATAGTCTTTCAAGGAGTTTTTCAAGGGAGAAGAATAGAGGCTGTATTATTGTCAGAAGTTGCCGTCAAGTATGGACTTTGCAATAATGCTGACGTAGACGGTAAGTGACGTAGAAACATCTCTGATAGCATTTCATAATGCATCATAGTATCAATAAAGAGTTCAAAATTGATAAAAAATCGTTAAGTTGAAGTTCTAATAAATGTTTTTATTCCAATAAACACCTGGTCATTTAAGGAATGTTTTTAAGTTTTGTCTGAGTTATTTGTGTGTGAATAACACAGATTTGTCATGTAGGCATATTTCATGAAGCGCGCTAGCAATTTCTAAAAAATATGCCCACGTGCAAGACTTTGTGATTCACACACGAATGATTTACACTAAACTTAAAAACATCCCTTACATATACATTTTAAATGTTTGGAAGCACCCAAATATACTCAATATTTGAATTTCTCGCTTGACTATATCTTATATTTTTACTAATGTGACGTCACATTAACGCACGTTTCTCCGTGTATATTTCTACGCGTGAGTATACACGAAAATGATATTCAATTCAATTTCACAGTTGGTTAAGTAGCAAAAACTCAGCTAATGTAAATATAAAAAATTGATTCAATTTAAAATTGCTTATATTTCTTGATCCTAAGTATTGAATCGAAATTGAGGAACATTATGGTCGTCTTCAAGTGATGGTGGAATAAAAAGAATTTTAAAAAGGGAAAAGCTGAAGTCATCTCATTTCAATACAATTAATTGATATGTTAGTTGGCGCATATAGTCTATAGCTACAAATATAGTAAAACATAGATAAAAACTTAAGTGGAGGCTTGTGTATGGTCATTCAATTGTTCAATAGATTGTTACTTCCATTCCTATGTCGGCTCAATATACCTCAATAGTTCAATGAGATATATCGAGCTATAACATGTGTGGAAGCAACGATCTATAATTGAACTGACTTTTTTTTTTTGCTTAGTCTAATAGAGAAGTTTTTTCTTAAGAAAAAAATCAACTTTATTCCTGAGTATATTTATTTTTTTTTCATTTACAGAAATATCGAAGACACTAAAGGGCATGTGCAAATTTGCTGTAGAAGATTGTATTTCGTCGGGGTTAATTTTGCCTAACACTCAAAATTCTACTCTAAACACCTCACTATGCCCATTTTGTGAAGGGAAAAACTTTAGTGTGTCAAATGAGGGCCTTCCTAGTTCCTGCTTTTGTAAAGGGGACGAAGAAGTTTGTCATGCCTGTAGATGTTCCAATACAGTCACCAGTACTTTTATTAAAAATCTGAAATGCAATGAATTCTACCTTGAAAGCGCAACAAAAAGCAATGAAAACTATGCATGGTTACACAATCTGAATATAGAATTATTCTCCCTATCAGTCTCAAAAAATAATACGATTTTCAATTTTGATAAATCTCGGAAAACTTCTTTATTTATTTCGGTTAGAGGACCACATCATTTTATCCATATTTCAGAAGGGACTCTTAGTCTTATTATGGATTCCACAATGAATTGGTATATTATCAATAACTTCAGTAACTCTTCTGTCTATTTCAGCACAACTTTTGACTATTTTTACTTCGCTCAAAACAATTTAAGTAAAGCAACGCACATTAATGTTGGTAATTTTAAAACGGTAGTTTCAACGAACTTCAGCAATTGTAATATTCCGAATCACACTCGTTTATCCATAGATTCTAGAATGGTTGATTTGAGCGGAAACAAACTTACATCCTTTGTGATAAGTCAAAATACTGAATTTCTATACATAAAAAATAACATGCTTAGCGATATTGTAAAGAATTATGCTAACCTTGATCAGCTTCAATATTATCCACTGTCAATTTTAGATATATCATTTAATAAAATATCCAAAATACGACGCGAAGATTTTAGCTATTATGTGTTACTGGTAAGCTTAAACCTTTCTGGAAATCTTATCGAGCACATCGATGTGGATATTTTTTCAGATCTCACAATGTTAGTTTCGATAGATTTATCAGAAAACAAAATTTCACGAATTCAACGAGAGCATTTTAGATCATTGAGCCAACTGCGTTATCTATACATTCAAAAGAACGATATTTTTAGTGTCTCTAGTGACATCTTCCATGGATTAGTGAATATGAGATACTTACAGGTGGAATCCTTCTCAATTTGCTGTGCTAAGCCCCAATCGATGTATAACATTGAGTGTGTTGCACCAGTGAACGAACTTTCCTCCTGTGACTATTTGATTGCAGTACCCATACTTAACGTTGCAATCTGGTACATGGCACTATTTGCGCTTTTTGGAAACTTAACGGTACTATTTTACAATGCGTTTCACTTGAAAAGTAAGACTCAAACTAGTTATCTGATCCTTACCATTAATTTAAGTTGTGCAGATTTACTCATGGGTGTGTATTTGTTCATCATAGCCATAGTCAACTTAGATTATACTGGAAGGTATGGACTGATGGATTATACGTGGAGGCATAGCTATCTTTGCATATTAGCAGGAATCATCGCTACTGTTTCAAGTGAAGCCTCCGTCTTTACTGTTTTTCTTATCACTGTTGACCGATTTCTGGCTATCAAATATACTATTTCAGAAAAACGTATCACTAAGAAAGGGGCAATTTTCATTTGTTTTTGTATTTGGACCCTGTCCCTATTAATAGCTACCCTTCCGTTACTTCCATTCCCCACGTCTTTCTTTAACGAGTTCTATTCACAATCAGGGGTATGCATTTCATTGCCATTGTCTGTTATTCGAAAAGTTGGCTGGCAATACTCCATGATTATTTTTGTTGGGCTCAATACGGTTTTGTTCATTGGAATTTTGTCTGGACAAATTGCCATATTTGTTGAGGCTTTGAAAATAGGGAAAGATGTTCGGACATCAAAAATCAGAGACAGGGAAATTTCTTTGGCAAAAACGCTTATAGCCATTGTTATCACGGACATGTTTTGTTGGATCCCAGTAGGAATTATTGGTGAGTTTTGCCTAAGTTTTTATTGCAATAAAAATAAAACTAAAAATTATAGTTATAATTTTGATGAATATAACTTAAATTTGAATTTGCAGAACATATAAAGAGTAAATGATATAAGAGTAAATACAATGAAGATCATTTTATTTCTTTGAAATAATCTTTTTTCCTTTTTATTATTCAGGCACAGTCACTTTCTTTGGAACTGAAGTTTCCATTGAGGTATATGCGTGGATAATTGTTCTTGTATTACCCATAAACTCAGCTCTCAATCCCATTCTATATACATTGACATCTGTAGTCAGACAAAAGGTATGCTAAATGAAAATTTACACATACAAAAGAAAGATTCCTCATAAATCCTAAGAGTTTATCCCTTTTAAAGTTATTGGTCTTCTCTAGAAAATGAACACAAAGGTTGCCCTAATATATCTGCTATCATAGAAAGAAAAAAATGAGAATTTATACTATTTTACTTTCATCTAGTCAAAATTAACTGTGAACAAATTGACAAGTGCAGTATAATGAAAAAAGTGGTATTTCATTGCCTTTGATCATCAGTGTATAACTACAAATGTGTTTTAGATTACCGGTATATGTGTAAAAAAAAAAAAGGTTATACGCCTATGCATCATATATAGTTTATGATAATATATATATTTAATATATAATATATGGTTTTATTTTTGTTTAATTCCTGATTAAATAAACATTGTAAATTTAAATATATTGTTCCACTCACTGATGAAAAAAAATGAAAAATTATATTTAACAATTCATGTAATGTTGTCTACATGTATATACTGTCACACACATTTTAGGGACAACTTCATATGAAACGATTAACACAGGAAAATATGCTTTTGAGAAAACAATTGGACACATTAAAGGTAAGTACTTAGTTAAACAGTGCTGTTTGTAACTCCAATATTTCTTGAAAATTGAAACTTATTCAAAAATTGATATATATACCTTTTTTCATACAATTTTTTGCATTTTGTAGAGTTCATCTTCGATCACCAAGCAGTACTAGAATGGAAATAAAATCTCTCAAAGCCTATTTCACAATATACTGGTTTTGTCATCTGTAACTCTTTTATGTCAGTGCAAATTATTTTAATAACCTACCCATCATAAATGTATTTTTTTTGTTCTGCTAATTAATATGTACGATTTTGTTTGTAAAATATATATAATATATATAATTATAATATCATAAAGAAGAATATATCGTTTTAGCTTTATTGCGCCCTAAAAATGTTATGACATCAAAAAGTTTTGAAACTGGCTTAAATAGTAGTTAAGTATATGACTGTTATAAATCAGGAAAGAATATGGCATGGATGTTTACCATTTTGCAAATATGACGTCATTAATGTGATGCATTTCTCTATTTTCAACAGAAAAAGCCCCAAAATGGCCAATTTCAAAGGTGATTTTCCTGTAGAAAATAGTGTCAACAGCCTCCGCCCAAATTAATTTTTTTAATATTTTGTGCAAAGGTCAACAACAAGTCATATATCTCAAGATCTTTGTGGACGACGCCGGTGGACAATATTACCTGAAAGAAAATTCTATTGAAAATTGGTGTCTTCTGCAATTTTTTGACAAAGTACGGGAAAATGTAATTGTTTTTGACGTCACAATTAGTATTTAAAAACACACGTGAAAAAATGTTTTGTATGATTTTTCTGCATGGAAAACCAATGATTCAGAAAGCATGAGTTTTCAACTTTTATACTAGTTTCATTTTTTAGAAATTCACAGGGCAGAATTTGCATGGAAACCATACCTTGTTATTTATACCTTTTGTATTTTTAATATGTTATCCTATAAAGTATGATCACTGATATTCGCTAACATTAATATTCTAAACTTTTTTATAAACATGATTTTATTTATCCCGTACTTTAATTTAAATTTCATTTTGTTTCAGCATGCCGGTCTTATAGTTGATGTTGCAATCACTAACAAAAATCTACCATATTTATGTGTAAATCTAGTTTGCTATAGATAACTATAGTAAAGACTTTGGTACTCTGACTTATCATGAAACTTTTATCTTTTTTAAGATTTTAAGATTAAAACCGCTTTAGTTTGATAAAAGGGATACCGTGATGAAAAATTTGGAAATGATATGTGAATATACATGTAGTGGTTCCATTTGATTTCAAATGTGCATGTATGATTCGGAGACTATAAAATACATCAATCTAATACATAAACTAATAGTTAAGTACTTTAATACTTTAATTTATAATAGCAAAAAATTATTTTGATCTTTGGTACGAGAGTAAATTTATACTCCATGTTTATTGGTATATTATTTACTAACGCACTATATCAATAGTCCTGACAGAGAAACATGATTTTACATAGAGTATTTACACCTCCAGAATTTCAATTCTAAACCATCCGATCATCAGAAAAGGAATAAGCTCTGCGCATGCTGGTTGCAATAAAAAACTTTCACTTTTAGGTGATTTTTATCTCCTTCTCTTGAGAAACAGAAATGTTTCGAAATACATTCATGAACATGTAATGTATAATTTTATCTGAATTTGTAATTTAACATAACATTTAGACAAATAGTCAAATTTTAACATCTTAAAAGCCGTCAAAGTTAGGTCGTTGTTTTATTTTATTAAAATATAAAAAGTTTATGCAACAATAAAGTAAATTCTTACTTTATAGAGATTTGAAATCAATACATGCGCCATTTAAACGATAACAATTTAACCAAAACTAAACTAGATAAGCTTAAACCTTTATGCAAGAATGGATTAAATAAGTACACCAGAGAAAGTGGTGATCGGAACACTGTCTGAATAATATCCGGTACCTCCTTGTCGTTTGATCCACACTGTATCAGATTGATCGAGGCGCACCACTAACATGTTAGTCCCTGTTTGGTAGGGCGAGCTTCTCGAGGCTTCTGATGCAGTTGTCACCTTTGGATTTCCATTCAATACGATGTACATGTAAATGGATTCATAACTATATCCGACTACGGTTACAAAAAATTGGTACATCCCCGCGACAGGAGCCGTGAAAATCCCGGTATGAACATTATAACCTCCTCCAATATTGGTGATCACTTTCGAAAAGACTAGTACATCACCGAACCAGCCGGGGTATGAGGAGGGCATGCCAACTGTAAATCCAACCTTCTTGCTTATATCTAAAATGTAAAATTATTGTAATTAAGGATACAAAAATTCATCGAAATTACTTTAGCAAAATTGAATAAAAAGAAAAAGTTGCACTAAAAGCAAAAGAAGTATACGTTTGATTTAATAACTGAGTTATTGAACTAATATTTCTTGTTGTTGTTGAATTATCTCTTCTTTTGTATATACTATGTTTTTATCAGGTAAGAAAAAATATTTTAAAAAAACATTAAAAATACGTTTTACAAAAACGAAAATAAATAAAGCAGAATCTGTAATTTGGAAAAATATATATCAAACATGGAAATAAACAACTCATAAATTTGAATTCATAATTAATGTACAGATTTAAACAAAAAGCAAATTCAAAGAATTGTGATTCGCTACTTTCGGTGTCTTAGTGGATGGATGTCATTATTTATGGCATATTGGGTAGTATACGAATATGTCATTCAGAATGATCTCCAAAGAAAGTTAAATATTTTACAAATTAGGTCAATCATGGAAGTCAACGGGTATAAAATCATCTTGTTACATGTAATGCACATGTCAAATATGAAAGACTTAATTCTTCTCAATCAAATCCTACTAGAATTTTGAAGCTTCGATAAGATTTTAATCATATTTTCTTGTAAATGCTATTCCAATATATGTCGTAATATTACCTAGAAAAGTTGAGAAAATCTCAAATCTATGTCTATGAACCTTTAAGATAATATTTCTGAAAAGTAGGTCGAACTTCAAGGTCAAAGTCACGGGGTAAAAATATTTGGAGAGGTCTTGTTACAGGTAAAGTATATTTTGATATAGGTTTAAGTTTTTTGTGACAGACAAACCAACTAACTCACCGCCAGATGAATGAGATTTAAATTGCCCTTGCTTTGCTGAAGCGGGAGACAAAACCAATGATAAAGTTTATCCCATCCCCAATGAAACATAGTTTTGTTTTTTGTAAAAATTTAATATGTATCTTATGCAATTTAATTTTTATTAAAGGAATAGAATATTAAACATTTATCCATATTTTTTTTAATTTCCTAAAATTATTTTATCTATAAACTATATGTTTTTAATCAATTGGCATATTTGATGCATCACGTCAATAAGGAAAGAGGTTTTTATTTAACCAAAGTACAGATTACTAACTTTTTATTTACATGTACCTTCAATTGTTAAACGAGCGTTTGTCAAATTCATTTTGATATCCTCTTTTAACTTTTTGGTTTCCTCTTTTAATGAAGTCAGTTCTGTTTGTAAATCCGATATCAATAAAGCACACTCCTTCTGCGACTCCCGCAAAGACGTTACAGTTTGCCTCATGTCAAACACATCCCTGACCAAAGAAATTCGGATAAGAGTTTCTTGGTTTAACAGTTGTCGGAGAACATCTGTATTTTTGACATCAACTCTAACTTCGTGCATACTTGTCAAGGTATTGTTGTCGTTGTCTGTAACAATGGAGAACCCATTGATGTGTACATATGAGGCAGAAAGCACAAAGAAAAGACAAGATTTGTAGTCCATGTTGATTATTCAAACTATCGTTTGATGAGTGGATTGAGAAAGCTTTACATTCTGAAGAAATATGTACGAAATTAAGCTTGAAGTATCTGTACTTGAAACAAAATGTAAATCCTATACTTTAAGGCGTACCACAAAAATTTGAAAAATTATCTTTTGCAAACACTTTGTTTGAACATCTTTTGACGTCCGCTTGCGGTTTTTTCACTTCTGCAGGGATTTATCCTTAAAAAAGTATTACCAACAACAGTGGTTTAATCAACACTATATATGCTTTTCTTTTCCTGAGTCACTAGGGGTGAAATGGAGTCATCTTATAAATATCAACTTTGCATTAGTTAAAAAACATCACGATAGAAAAGAATGTTCTGTAGAAAACACAAAAATGGCTTTCCATTTTCATTCATGAATCCCATTTACTCCAACAGAATATCACTATCTACTGCTTGTGAAATATTATAATATTCTACCTTGCCACAATATGTATATGTGCACTTTAGGGGCAAATACCTTTTTAATCCTATCATATGCCTAAACGTAAATATATACACCACACTTTTTTCATCATCTATAAGATGTCTCTTGATTTCTTTTTTTTTTTTACTTATTTGTCTTTCACATAAAAGGGCCTTTGTCCAGGCTTTTTGAGATCACTGACAGCTGCTTTTTTAAGGAAAATAAAACTCGTAAATTTACCTACCTTGTCATTGTCATTTGCAAAATTATTTTGTTAAAAACAATATGATTGGACACAGAATTACTCTGAAGTTGACATCAAAGAGATGCTTGAGTTTCTGATTGACAATATTTATGTTGTTTGTTTGCAGTTGCTCAAAACACTGGTTAAGGTTAACCACTGGTTAAATCTCTTATCCAGTGGTTAACTTTTAACCGTTGGTTAAATTCTGTTGCTCAAAATTTGTCCACTGGTTAACTTTGCTATTTAATGGTTAAATATTGGCTAAAGTTAGCCATTCCACAGAGGTGGGTTAAGTCTCTTAACCAGTGGATAAATGTGACTAAAAAATTATTATTTGTTGTAAATTTTGGGAGATAACAAAAGAAACAAAGGCTTACAGATGTTGTAACCAAGAATTTAATGTTGCTGAATCAACTTAAAAAGACAAATGCAGTAATATAAAGTCAAGTTGACGTGGTTTTGTAGCAATATTAGGCAGGAATAACATCACAGTCAGGGATATGATAGGTTTTTATGTCTTCATCGTTGGGGTTACCTTTTTTTAATTTGTTTGTTTAGCCCCCCCCCCCGCCTCCTCCACCCCCACCCACATTCAATTAGCTACTCTACTTTCACAATGCTTCCGATGCATATGCTATCAATATCTACATAAAGATTTTTATCTAATTTCTACATGTATTGATGATAATATCAAAAGGTGTTGTATTTATAAAATACACTTGGGATAATGCATTTTAGTTACACCGCAAAATTTAATTGTACGGAGCGAAATGCATTAGTGACGAACTCGCTATATCTACTTGCATATTCGACCATGACCTTTCTGTAATAATTAAAAAAAAATGCTACCCGCTTTCAGACAGTGTTAGTGCATTGTAATGCGGGATTACATAAATGTGAGGAAAGTTATTTCTTGTTTGGAAATATTTGACAAACCACTGGCCTGAGATCTTTCTGTCAAGGTATGTATAAAAGCGATAATACAACAAGTGCGAATTTCCTCGAATAATAGCAGACGACGTTTACATGGTGTAAACAGTAAAGGTGTCCTGACTCCAGTCAGTTATTTTTTTAGGTATAAAACGATACAAATTGATGTATTTGCCTCGTAATTATAGCTGTCTTGAGTAGGTATTGTCTTTAAAATATTTTCTGTAAAACTAAGATCTAACAGCTTAACAAGCATCTAGGTTTCTGCAATCATTCTATCCATCTTACCTGTGGTGCTAATCCTTTCCCATTCAATGTGTTTACAGTTACTGCATCCTCAACTTGAATTTTCAGCAAAGAATAATCCCAGCTGACTGGTGTGTTCCTCACTTTTTGCAACTAAAGCGTTTGTTTAGTTTTGATACTGTTACATGTCGATATTTCTCCACTTCTCCACATACGGTTGTAACGTTAAAACGTCTCACTATTTACTTATTTGATATTTACCATGGTAGCCATTTTTTGGGTTGACAACTGGACAAGTGTAATGCATTGTGGGATACTAACCAGTGGTTAAATCACTTAACCTGTGGTTAGTTAACCAGAGGCTAATTTTATTTCGAGCAATATATATTTGACCAGTGGTTAGTTACCCAGTGGATATAGAATTTAACCGACAGCTAACTTATCCAGTGGTCAAATTTAACCAGTGTTTTGAGCAACCCAGGTCTTCTAACAATCTCTTGGAATTCCCATGGGAACCAATTGTGCCGGTTATAAGCAAACCTATTTTTGTATTCATATAAAGCAGAATTGTCCAAAATCTTACGCATGAACTACGAAAACACTTGCTATGGCATTCAACTCTACATGTAGATATATGGACGACGTATTGTCAATTAACAATAATAATTTCCATTCTTTAGACAATACGATATATCCTGGTGATCTGGAGATAAAAGGAACCACAGAGTCTGACACATCTGTTTCATATTTGGATATTTTACTTGAAAAAGATGTTTATGGTAATCTAAGAATTAAGCTCTATGATAAACGTAATGACTTTAACTTTTCAATCGTCAACTTCCCTTACTTATGCAGCAATATACCTTCATCACCTGCAGACAGAGTTTCATGAGTTTATGGATTTTTTATCTTGAATACTGTTCTTTATCTCCACATGTTTCATCTTACTTCAATTTTGTTCGTCTATGGAAACTTGCTATAACGTGTTTTATTGTATGTTGCAACAAGTGTGCAAAAGTTTCATTTTATTTTTTCGAAAATGTTTGTTTTGTTATTTAAGGAACACATAACTTTGCATATCTAATTATTCACAAGGTGTCACTCTTTAGCTCTGAGGTTTTAAAAAGTCACGGGTATGTTGACGTTACAATAGGATTCGACATAGAAAGTTTACGTATTTACAGTATCAAACTAAAACTAAATCAAACTAAAAACAAGCAAAAGATATCTTCAGCAATATATAAAATGAAACATACATTAAAGCTTGTTTGGTCTGTAAAAATATTTCTTTATATGTGTAATTAAAAAAAAAGATGGATCAATAATTAAACTAAGTCAGTGTTCTTGATGTTGGAAATAATTCATTTTCACATAATTCAGAAATTACAAAATAAAAAAAAAAAGTAAAAGCTAACAAATAAGAACAAAAACATGGGAAGTTTTCACGATCTAGTAACTTTAAACAATCGGAGAAAGGGACAAAGCTACTTGAATAGGACATGGTTTGCAGGCTTTGTATTTAAGCTTGGCGCTTCAGAGATGCGGGAGAAAAGGCGTTATCAATGTGTTGAAGGGAAAGCTGAAGTCTGTTCATTCAGTGATACACAAAGTCATTTCTTTTTTCTGAAGTATGAGTGTATACGCTCATAATGCTATCGTTAATCATTTAAGTTGAGAGCTCTTCAAAAGTACTTCATATAAACCTTAAATTAATTGCAACATTTCCGATTTAAAATCTGGCGCATTTTAATATAGATAGCAATAATTTAAAATACGTTGATTTTTAAATTCTTTCCACATTGTTTGAGTTTATTGAGAGGGAAAAAAAGCATACAACTTCTCTCTGTATTTTATTGAAATCGTGTCACGCTGTTGGTTACTTTTCCAACGTCACAGGATAACATTATTTTCAATCAATAGAAATTGAATTTACGGGTTACATGCTTTATTTTGATTGAATTGTTGATTTATTCCTACCCGGGTTTTTTTCTGGTCACGTAAGCATGCAAAAATATTTACATTTCCATTTATGTGTCTTTAACATTCCTTACAAATTAGAATTTTGTTCATTTTCTCATTAGGCTGTCACTACTCCATGATTATTTTTGTCGCGCTCAATACGGTTTTATTCATTGGGATTTTGACTGGAAAAATTGCCATATCTGCTGAGTCTTTGAAAATAGGGAAGAATGTTCGGACATCAAAATTTAGAGACAGGGAAATTTCTTTGGCAAAAACGCTCATAGCCATTGTTATCACGGATATGTTTTGTTGGATGCCAGTAAGAATTATTGGTGTATTTTGCCTAAGATTATGTTTTATTGCAATAAAACTAAAACTAAGAATTATTGTTAGAACTTTGATGAATATAACTTAAATTTGAATTTGCAGAACATATAAAAAGTAAATAATATGTAAACGAATGATTACAATGAAGATAAATTCATTTTGTCTTTAAAATGTTAAGTTTTTTATGAACTTTTCGTTTTTCAGGCACATCACTTTCTTTGGAACTGACGTTACCATTGAGGTACTGTACAGCAGGAAATTAACTCGCGGAGTTAATGTTCGCTATATTCGCGGAAAAAGAAATTCCGCGAATTCAACATACAGTGAATAATTCTTTAAAAGTTTTATAAGGATAAATTGAAATTTATAATTTTCTGTGATTAGCTGTAGACTGTCTTTATAATAATGCCAGTGTATGAATCAATTACAAACACGTATAGTTGTTGCTGTTTTTAAAGCTTATTAATTGTTTAATTTATTTCTATAGCTAACGATAAGTTTTGCCATCTATTAGACGGGCGATGTAATCATTTAATAAAACATGCTTGTTTAATCTCACCCGTGCGTATCACTCAGTCATTACCTTTAATCAGGGCATTTACGTTGTAAACAGGGTAACGACAATTATTTCAATTATTAATTTTCAATTATATGAATTAAAATTCAACATTTTGACTACGGTATAAATTTTTTTCTGATTTGGACCTGAAAATAAAAAAAAATAATTTAAATGCGTAACATTAGTTTGACTTCAAATAGGGATCAGTGTCGTGTTTCGATCAAAATCGACTTTTTTGTCCGATATGCGAGATATACTTGTGCAGACTTTCGTAAGATAGAGACGGGAAATATCATTTCAAACAATATATACATACAGAAAAATGATTGCAAGTACTGATTAAGAAATGTTTACGAAATTTATCCTTTCTGCGAATTCAA